TTTATTACAGTAAGATGGTGGTAAACTTGCTTTAAAACCCACAATGCAAATTCTTCCAGTCTTCATCTGGATCTGAATTTCATTGTGCATACCCATCTTTGCTTTTGTACAAAGTACGCACACAATGCCCAGTAAGAAACACAAGTAGATGTGGCCTAGGGGAGGGATAAGTGAGAAGAACGGGAGAATTCCCTGTAAATCGTCCCCAAATAACAAAGGAAGAATAGCTCTTTTTTGAAAGCCCAAATGACAGCATATGCTCCAGTTTGAAAGCACTAAAGCCAGAAAGCTTGCCAAAAGTTGTGGAGCTAATTAATGAAACAGTAAAAATATTAACTGGATGCTGAAGTCAATTTGAAATATGAGCTCTTCAAATGATTATAAACTTTAGCAGATAAACACAAGATTAATGAAAAAATGAAAAACTTTGACTAGAAATGCACAGCTGAAGGGCAGGGCACAATGTTAGTTGAGGCACAAGGACAATAAATCCCGAGGAATTTGACTTTAGGATATATTCAGTTCTAGAAATATATGAGCGCCCCAGAATACGAAGTTCAGGGTCACGGAGAGTTGCTGGCAAAACTGTGTGACTGTAAACAAGAATCTATCAGAGTATTTCAAGTTGTTGCCTGCTTGCAGTGAACTATGGTGATAACGCTTAGTATCTTATGTTGGAAGTAGTGCTTTTCATCCATACTTGCCATAATGCTTTGAAAAGGTGAGCCAGTTAGCAGGTGCTATAATTTCTTTCTGATAATGTGTGACTTGGTGATGTGGAATGTGTTGTAAAATTCACTACTTGCTTTGCTCCAAAATTGGTCCTTTCATTAAAATGAAAGCATTATAACTTAAAACATGTCTTGCAATTTTGTCTGTGAAAAAAGGAACCCTTAATGATATGATCTGAGTGTCAGCTCATGCAGAGTTCTCCTTCCTCTGTGAGCAGGCAGCCTGCATCGTTTCACACGCCCCATTTAGCCAAATGGATTGTTATATCTGAAAATGAAAGAACAGTTAACCTAATGATAAATATAAATGTTGCTAGCTATTTCACTGTCCAATATAGTGCTGTCAAAACACACTCTTTCTATGGTATGGCTCAGTGCTGTTAATAAAAGACTCCAAAATCTCAGGTTCATGAGTACGGTCTTTCTGTTGTATGTGCGGTTATGCTAACTTTTATGCTCCATATGAGTACGCTGCTGACTTCTCCTAAAATAGCTCTGTTGTGTGTAACTGGGTAGAGATTGCCAACAGAAGCCCCTAGCATAGACATAGACAATATTTTCCCAGACATGCACATCATACCTCCCCTGTGCCCTGAAACCTGAGTCTGCATTAGCCAGGATCAAATTGCACCAACTGCATTTGCTTCCCAGGAGGAGAAGTCACAGGGCACACTCAAAGAGCATGTAATATTGCACATTCGCCGAATGGCTACTCATCTTAACTGATATACTAAAAGGGTAGAGCTGGACTGTACATTCAGCTTTATATGACAAAGTGCCGATTGATGTAATAAAGTCAGCCCTGAGTGAGCCAACAAAGCAGATATTGCTTTGTTTTCTCCCGTACGGTTGCAGAAATCATATCTGATATTTAATATCTTAGCATTAGCACCTCTGCACTTTTTAATGTCTTGCACATTTATCATGTATATGGAGCAAAATTGGTCTTGTGAATTTTCAGTTAACCTGCCTTATGTGTTCTTCCATATACATGTGGTTAATACATAGATAAAATGATCTGATGTTTTAATACACTTTTGTTTGTGTGTGGGCAAAGAGATAGATATATATATATATATATATATATATGGCAATAAAAGGGTACTCCTTAGAGGAAGAAAAAGCTGTAGCAAAAATTTAGAGTTTCTTCTTATGTATCTGTCTTAACTTTGTGAGTAAATATTATGCCTTGTATATTGTAATACCTATTCACTTGGTTGTCCCTCTTATGTTATTTTAGATCACTGAGCCTGCCTACTGAATAAAGCTAGCATTAGGCATGAGATACAGAGCACAGCCTGAGCCAGTAAACTCTACCTAGCCTCCTAGCCTGAGCTGTAGCTGAAACTGCCTGAGCTGGTGGGAGGAGAGGGGGGTGAGGAGTCAGCAGCAGGAGCGCAGGGCATGCAGAGGCCCCAGCAGGGATTCAGGAAAGGTAAAGAGGAGAGGGGAGAAAAGAAGTAGCAGGGAATGAGCAGAAGGTAGAAGCAGCAGCCTAGAAAAAGGTTGGAAAATATTGTGCCAGACCATAGATCTCCTTTGCTTTGAACACCAGGGAAGAGCCGTGCATTTATCTGTATATGTTAAGGAAGGGAGATTCAAAGAGATCTACAGTTTTTAGAGCAGAATGCTGTTCAGCTGACAAGCATATTGTTGCAGTAAGTAGGGATGATGAATAGCTGAAATGGAGACTGCAACAACATGGCAAAAGATATCAGAGAACATATAAAGTGGCACTCAAGTAGGCATGTCCTGGGACTTTACTTACCGTGGGACTTCACCTGACATTGTGATCAGATCTCTTCTGCTTTTGTGACTGGATCACACTGAGGTATATTTAAGTTTTCATCATTTACCAGATTAGATATCTAATGCTTTGTTTTTCTGCCGTGGCCACATCAACTGGCACTGTATTCATCTCTTTCTATTGTGTGCATATACAAATCTCTGTGCTGCTCATCTTGCCCACAACCATGATCCTTGCTTTCATCACCAGTGGATTCCTAGAGAGATGTGCAGCTGTTTCCTAGAGAGACCTGCATTCAAAGTAGAGGACGGTGAGGGCTTTGCATCATAGAGGTATTTGTCTTATATAAAAGGTTTTATTATTACTTCTGAAGGTAATTTGCAAGCAAATGGTCCTTTCCACAGAGTGTAATCATCAACAAAATATTTTTCTTGATGTTTTTATATATAAATGACCAGATCCTGCCTAACTTTGGCTACCCTTTGAGGGCTAGAGTAAAAATGTTTTTCCAAGTACTAAATGTCCAAATAAATCATGGAAGAAAAGTTCTAATATTATAGCCCTGCATGACTCTGTAATGACTGGCAGAATTTGCTGATGTTTGTGTGTAGGGAAGCATTTACTTCAGGAACAGTATTGACATTTTAAGATCATACTGTACTGCATTCTACATGATTTCCCTTCAGCTGGAGCTACCACCTCCTGAGCTCAGACACTGTAACAGATGGTGTGAATGGGCCAAACGCTCGTCAGTGTGCTCAGGAGAGTCCTCTTGAACCGCTGCTGAAGATGGTTCAAGCTAAGTAAGCCTGGCTGGCCTTGCACTGCAGCATATTAAGAATGCTCACATGGTGTGTGAATATGGCTCACTTGGGAAGCAGTAACTCCTTAAATCATTTCAGTTTGTTCCACAAGAGCATGTTCCTCTCAACCCTGGATACTGTGTGTTTGTAAAGGGTAGAACAAATGCAGAGTCTCAGGAGCTCTGCAGTGATTGTCTCTCCTGGAGTTCCCTGTGCAGCTCTGCACATTCTCTCATGTGTGCCCTCTTCCTGAGGATAAAACCTGACACATTAGAAAATCCTGATCCCCTGAAATTAGTGAAAGTTGTACTGTTTTCCTCAAAGGTTCTGACATGACTACTAAGGCCTTCTTATTATCTATTGCATCCAGTTACAATTTATTATATAATGCCACTGTTGTAGCATCTCCTCTGTCACAAGGTTTGCACCTCCTGACTTGCATGTTTACTTTAATACCACAGGTTATTTTTTAATCTTTTAAGGGTACCTTCGCCACCATACTCATGTCTTCACTCTATGCTTCTTTTGTAATGTGTGTGTCCAACAAAACCTGCAGACGTATGGAATGAGAATTAAGCATGGGTTTTGTCCACCTTGGCTTTCAGTCTGTGTTAACACACGCTAGACCTAAGTACTCTAAATGAAATAAAATGCTTTTCAGTTTCATTTTTATTAAGCTACAGGGTGCTACAACAAAAGATTAATGGTTTTAGCTGGCGTGCTGACAGGCAGAGAGGGGTCATTACTGCCCTCTTGTTCCAGACAGAATTCCATTCCTTGAAGCTAGGGTACACTCCTTAGGCCTAATGACAAGCTGATGTATAATTTATTTTCTTGGCAGAAATAATAGTCGAGATGGAAACTTACTTGTATTGTACAGCAGATCTTTTGTTTCTTTCATTTTTATGTAGTTAAAAAGTTTAAACATGTTTTCTTGGGAATCTTGACCTACTCATTCATTCTAGAAATAGAAACTGTTGTAATACTAGTAGGTAACTTTACATTTCCTTTCACTGCCGAATTGAACCCAGTTCATATAACCTACAGTGGAAAGACTGTTTTGCATTTCTCAATATAAGAACTAGCCGTGTTATAGGGTAGGGAAATCTGATGTTGTTCTCTGAGACTGAATTAGGGTAAATTCTCTTGAAGTTTTTCACCTTGAAAAAATTCTCAGTGACAGTTTTAGGCTATTTGCTTTATTTATAGCAATTGTCTGAATATATTGCTTATCCAAGTTAATTTTTGCTTCAGAGTATGTCTTCTACTCTTCTTTCTGTTACTCTGTTTCCAGCCACCAGCACAGCTACTGTTTTATCTTCTTCCTGCAACTCTGCTGTTCTAGTCCTACTTGTCTTTATAGCCCAAACTGATAGGTTTAATGCATGAGATAGGGTTTTATGCCAAAGATAAGCATTTAAAATGGACTGGCAAAATCATTTTCATTCATATTTAAAATAAATATTCCAATCTTTACTGTAAAATTCAAGCCAACTCAATTCAAGTCACTAAAGTTATTTTGATCACTCTTATACTAAATAAAGCCTAAAAGGAGGTTGAATCTACGTAATCTACGTTTCCGGGGGGGAGGAGGGGGGAGAACTAGTACAGAGCCCATTTCACTACTTACCTCTTTAAAAATAGCTTTTATTCTATTTAAAAGTTCCTTCTTTTGACCTCATGATGATCATTGCTTATATATGGCCTTTATTCCTCTAGCTGTTGCCAGTCCTTCTGAAGAGCTAAATAAGCTTGATCCAGTAGAAGAGAAGCTTCGAGCACAAATTGAAGAAGAGAAAAAAAGGTATCACTTCTGACTCAAACCACCCTTCAGAAGATAAATTACACCATTAGTGTATTCCGATTGGAATTTTGCACACACAGCTATCCTGAGGGTTTTCTTTGACATTTTAAACGATGTCAGCTTTGTGGTTCACTAATACATTTTTAATATTTGTATATGCTGTTGGTTTATACGTCCGTAAGATACCACAGTACATGAGCAGGGATATTATATGTTTGGGCTAACTAATGGTCAAAAATAAATAAAAATAGGTTAATGTCTCCCTTGGGGATTAGTGTTAGAAACTTAGTCTTTAGTTCTAAGTGTATTGTGAGCCCAGTTGGTTGTTTCAGATGTAATGTCCTGCTTTCCTTGACCTAAGGAAAACCTTTAGGCTCTACAGGGCAGACTACGTATAAATAATATGCAGAGTATGCATTACTTAACCAGTCGTTCTGTTTGCTCTAATGCAACAGTAACCAGGATGATAAAATACGTGCAATCACACCAAGTAATTTTCTAGCATTTATTTTAGCTCTAATCTGTGAGGAAACTTCTGGCTACTTCATGCTATTGGTAAATCTCCAACTGTACATTAGACAAGAGGCCTGGTTAATGAAGCTTTAATTGAAAGGGGAATAAATACATAGCTTCTAACTGAGTCCTGGCTCTGGATACCAGCTGTTTATTAACAGTAGCATGCTGAGAAATCAAAAGAAATAATTGACACTTTTGACTGAGCTTGTATTTTAATTGTTAGTCAGTATCAGTCCCTCTTGAATTTCACTAGTTCTTCAGTGAAATAAAAGTTTTTCAGGATAAATTTCTTGTACCTACTGACCCAGGAAAGCTCTAATAAAATATGGGCTGTCTCTTCCTCCCACCACCCTTCCCCGCCACAAACTCTTTATTACGTACTATTTTGTAGTTTAAATTTATAAGTGTTCTAAGTAGGATAGAGCTTTGTTCAGAAATACATTGGAAGACCTGTAATATACTTTCTTCTTCTCTTATTAGTTATAAAACAATGTTCAATCGCTTGAAAGGCTTGAAGGTGGAGATTGAGCACCTGCAGCTTCTCATGGAAAAGGCCAAGGTGAAGCTGCAAAAGGACTTTGAAGTCTGGTGGTCTGAAGAGGCAACAAAACTACAGGTATAAAATTGCTTTGTATTTCTACCCTTTTAATGAAAATGTAACCTCTTCAGTTGTTGCTTAAAGAAGTAGCTAATTGGTTAGACAGAAAGGAGGCTAAAGGGTGGGATCTGGGACCTGATTCACCTCTATTCATTCAAGTGTAAATCAGACATATCTAATGTGAGTTATGCTTATATGAAGCTAATACAAATGAAACAAAGCTCTTGTTTTCTTCTCTATCTTCTATTGTGACTTCCTCCCAGAAAACTTGAACGAAAGTTAAAAATTGTCCCCAAAATGCCACAAACTCTGAGAGAACATAAAATGAATAGGGGAGACTTGAGGAAGAGTATCTTTCTTACTGCTAGCAAAATTCCAATTTCATCAGGTTTATGCTGTGTTGGAGTATATTAGAAGATGGCAGTCATGGCCATAGTATGGGCAAAACCCAACAAGCAAAATTGACTTTTAGCTTTCTGCGGTTGCAATGACTTCTGTAACCTTTTATAATTCCTAAGTTCCCAGAGGGCCACTGACTGTCAAGACAGAGTGTGCATCCCCTAGCTCTCTAGCTGAGTCCCACAGCTAGTGTCATTGCCTATTTAGGAACCCAGTAGAGTCAGAGTCCTCTAATTTAATGACTTGTATAAAAACAAACAAAAGAGATATTTTAAACAGTGTATGTGAAGCTCATAACACAATGAGACAGGCTGAAAGATGTGCAGTTTCACGAAAACAGGAGACAGTACCAGAGGTTCTGGAGGGGGAACAACTGAAACAAGTCAGCTTTCTTATGAGCTCCCCTTCTGATACATTTTTATGAGTTGAAACACTGACATGGCATCTCACAGCACAGCACTGCAATGAAAGGCACATCAGGCCTAAATGGAAAAAGTGCTAAGTGCAGTCCATCCATATCATATGTTATTAACTGGAATAGAAGATTTACTTCTCGGGGAAAAATTATTGTAAACAAAAACAGAGGAGTACAGCTGATTTTTTGTTTAATGAGTATAAATTTTAACTGTAGTTTTAATAAAATGTTCTAAAATAGATACTGAACATAACATGAGGGACTCAGTTATCCATAAAACATTATCTAACTAGCTGAACTTCAAGCTATCTTTGCAAAACACTTTTCAAATTAAAAATCCTTAACCATGTAGGTGGCAAAGAGGATAATGTTTTAGTGACCTTGCTGTCTGCAAATTTAGAATTATCAACGCACTGTGAGTAATATCCTTGGATTCACTGGAGCATACTTTTCTCTATCCCTTGACAGGAGAGGTCCAGGATTCAGCTTTTCATGATTCATCAGCAGAAGATTACAAATCTTGAAAAAATGATTAGGATTGATTTCTTGGATCTATCTATATATCTGAGCTCCCTAAGAAATTCAAATCAGCCAACACATGCTGTTACACATTAAAAAAATGGAAAATGAAAATTTTTAATGAAAAATTAAAAAAAAAGAAATCTGAGCTTAGAAATACTTAAACCAATCCTAAACACTTTTCTCTTTGTTCAGAAGTGTGTGTCCAAATGAAGAAAATAGTATATGATTCAAACTCTGTGTTTTTTGAGTGAGTCATTGACCTACCTTGTTATTGCTGAGATCTGTAGGCCGGTATTAAATACTCTAAAAAAGTCCTATGCTACATACTTTGTTTTTCAATCTAAACCCAGCAGGAAAAGCCAGAATTGGTTAATTCTTCAAATACTGCAGCAGTTTATCCCCGTTTTGTCAAATCCTCGCAACATCTATCTACTAACAGGTAAAATGTTCATTTTTCTCTTGTTGAAAGCTGAAGTTTCATCTTTGTCTGTTTCTTGTTGTTTTTCTCTTTTCTCTTACTTACTTGTAAGTAGGTGCAGTTTTATTAAATCTGCAGTACCCCAGAATGCTTTTGCAAGCATCACACTCAAACAGTGCATTTCCAGTTAAAATAAAATGGCTATGTAGAAAATGAATTTTTATCACTCACTTATTTTGCAATAGTATTGAAGGTAGCTTATTGTAACTCAGTCTTTTCTGACATATTGGTCTTGGGACCCTAGGTCCTCATATAGGTCTTAAGACCTATTCCTAGGGACTCCATGACAGATAACTAATAAAAGCAAGCCTGTTATCAATGGATTTTGCTATATAAGGAGACTGTATCTCCACTGGAATATATTTAGGGGACTGCAGTAGGGGACTGCAAATTGAAAAAGATTAAAAATTGATGTAATATGAACAGCCTAGATTTGCTGTTGCAAAATGTCCTGGTGCTACATTTTTAGAGCATATTATGCCACAATGACATTACATTTGATATGGTAAAACACTGGTGAACCCTCTACAGTAGAAAAATGTAAAGCACATATCTTGTTCCTGTCATCATCAGTCACTTCTGATTTCAAAACCTCTAATTTAAATTTGCATTAATAGGTCTTTCATAGCCTTTCACACTGTAGAATGTAGAGTGCAGCAAAATAATACCAAAATATGCAGGTTTCCATCTTCAATGACAATAAATGGAAGTGGTGTCTCTACCTCTCTCTCTCCACTACTTTCTATTCCTCTCTCTTCCTCCCTCCCTCTCTCTCTCTCCTTCTCTCGATCCCTGCCTCTCTGTCTCCCTCTCACTGAACAGTTAATCTTTCCCTGATGAGTGGCTTTACCTACTATTTTATAACAATACTGTGCATAAATGGTTTTTTTTTCAGCAAGCAAAATATGTAATACGTGCCATTAAATGATGAATATTGGGATTTGCTTAAAACTGTAAAATACATTCTAGTTTTACAGCAACCTTTCAGGTAGCTATAATAATGCTCTACAATCAGTACAGAGAGAGAATAAAAAACATAATCCTATAATGATATCTAAGAAGGCACTTCCAGATGGCTATAATTGATGAATCCCAACTCTAGTCTTCCCTACTTTGCCCTCGATTTTTATTCTGTATGTTCTCTAAAGACTTATGCACGCATTCACTTTGCAAAAGGCTGACATGATTTAAGACCTAATTTCAGTTGTTCATTTCCGGTTTTGCACTGAGCATAACTGCTCTCACAGAAAAGCTGGTGAAACAGAACATGAGGACATTTTAATGTACCTCAGTGCAATCAATTAGCTCAAACAACCCATGAGTGTCACTTGAGCTATCCTCCTTAACTTCATACTGAATTAAACAAGAGAGCAATTGCACAACCTCCTTGCCCCCGTTGTTCTTGGGAACACTAATTTCTAGTTGGCGTGCTGATGAATTGCTCAAAACAGTGATATCTTCTGTAGTTTAAGCTAGAACCAAACAGAACACAGGATAATGCCCAAGGGCTTTTCCGAGCAATGGGAGATTGTCTTGCAAGAGTGGTGATTCTTTACTTTTCTTTTCCACAGTTCAGAAGCAAAAATGCATAATTGGTGCCTGTATGCTTTTCTTTTAAATTTTTCTTCAAATGTCTTTACCGTTTGTATTTATTACTGGAGGACAGGTCTCAGAAAAGTGTATCAAGCATTTTGAATAAAACGTTGGAATGTGTGTGGTTGCTTTAAGTTCCTGAGATTATTTCACAGTCCTGGACCGCCCCACATGGTCTCCTTGAGAAACTCACATGGTCTTTATAATAAACAGTTCCCTCACGTCTGACTAACAAACATCTTGAATGAGGCTGACTGAATGATCCTTATATGCATATCACAGACTTAGAACATTCACCTTTTTGAACTGAAATTGTAGAGGGAATATAGTTGAATATAGCTTTGATAACCCCTATCTACTACCATCTCAATCAGTATTCGTGCAACGGTCTTCTGAAGTCACCTGCTCTTTCCTTCTTATAGGCACAGAGAGTTGATCTTATTTTATGTAAAGCTGTTTAAACATATTTTACACTGGTACATTTTCAGCATGATGTATATGGAATTAGAAATTCTATTTCTGCTCTTTGTGAGGGGCAGCTGCAGGCTTAACATCCCATTCTGCATGAAAATTTACTCTTCCCCCTACCTGAGGCAATAACATGTTAGAGTAAAAGTTTCCAATTTCACAGACTGTAAGCATATAAAACAGTAGAATGGCCATATCCCAAGGATCTTCTCGAACCAAATGGACACAGGAATTTTACTTATTAATTCTCTTGCTTGTGTAGAATGAGTCTTAGCTACAATTTCTCCTCCCCGTTACAAAGTCCCAAGACACAAACAGCCCTTTGTCTCTAATTCACCTAGAAATCAACAATCTTTTTCTGTAAACTGATATTGCCATCTTCACCCATCAGAATAAAAGCACAAAAGCAGAAATGCACATAAATTATATGCCACATAATGTAGCATAAATAAAATCTATTTCCAAGGAGTTCACAGTTCAGTTCACAGATGTGTTCAGGGGACATAAGATCTAAAACTTAGTGGGCTGCATGTCAGAAATCTAAGACTGCTGCTGACAGAATAAGTATGCACTGAAACCATTCAGACAAATTCCTTAGTGTGAATGAATATAAATACAGACTTCACAATGGATATAAATGCAGACTCAATAAATTGAGTAATAAATCTCAGCACATCAAGGATGCAGATATATTCCATAATTTTTCTTGAGATGTATATATTCGTTTGAATCAAATCTTCTGACCACCTTGCAGTGCACAATTAATGATGTGCATTGTTATTGTTTGACACACCTTAGTCATGTTACTAGAGATAATTAAGTCTTGGGAGGGGAATGGGTTAGCCTCATATTATATTTTATACTAAGTCACTTTATAACTAAAATAACAGAGAAGGGAAGCTTGGTAATGCCTGTGAGCCTTAAGAAGGATACGCACACATAAAAGGTGCTCAATTTATGGCCAAACATGCCTGTTTTTCAACTGAAAAAAAGATGGCCGAGCATGTGAGTCTGTGTTACGAGGGATTGAAAGAGAGTGCATTTCTGTCTCAGCTAATAAGGTTTTAAAGCCATAGGCTTGTTTCTGATACCATTGAAGTAAGCAGCAAAACATAACTGATTTCAGTGAACACAATGCTGAAGTGGGGAAAGGGCAACCAAAGGGTTATCAGTGGGTTAGGCATGAGATCTCTGCATAAAAAAGGTCATTTTTTTAATCAGGCTAGTCACATTGCCAAATCTGATATACTTAAAATAGTTGAAGCCAGTAGTTCATATAGTTTTTTATAATGTAGAGGCTTACAGACTCATGTTCATTAACCTATAGAGCAGATTCAATGGTTTCCCAATTATATATAATCTTTGCTTATGTCTTTCATATGAAGGTTTTAGAAATAGTAAATCTCATCTGTTCAGAACACATTAATTACAATGAAGAACTGTACAAAACGGAGAAAGAATGACCCATCTCTGTATTTCAGATTGAAAAAGGTCTGATAGCAATCCCAGAGTACAAAGAGAAAGGAGGAGGAATATAAAATAATCAATAATAAGTTATTTTATTCAGAAAAGAACACCTGATAAAATTCCTTAAACGTGAAGAAGAGTGCACGGCTTGTCCATATTGTCTCTACCATAAAGGTGTGGTGTTAACTGCATCTCTTACTGTATGCATATTTACATCTCTTGGTGGTATCATGTCAAGTCTGCAAAAAGTCTTAACATGTATGTCAGGCTCAGCGTTCCATGTCTGCTCCACAGCAAAATTCAAGTACAGTGTTCTGTTCATCCTCATATATTCTTCTCTTGCATTGGCAAGTAGTTTATCAGATTGTTAACTTGTCTGTTCAAGTTATTGCTCTCAGTAAATGTCTAGCTTCACTAGTGTCGAACTGTTCTTGTATTCTCCTGGAATCAAGAAATTATTGGATACTTATTCAAACCTTTTCAAAATTTTTGATTTCTTTCCTTCTTTCCGAAGGGATCCATTCATTTTTAATTCAATTAGATCTTTGTCTGTTAACCTTACTCATTGCCTTTTACTGAATCTCATTTGTCCTATTCCAGCAAGCCCAAGAGCATGTTTGATCTCAGACTGCTTGGCTCTCCAACTTCTTCTTCAAAATCCTCCCATCACTTTAGATTCCCTTGGAAATAATCTCAGATAACTCTTCGTGCTCTCTGATGACTTTTAGCATCAGTTGTTTTAACATTGATTGTCCTGGAGCGTAAAATGCTCTCCCTATATTAATGCTATGTGAAACAAAGGAAACATTTACATTTTTGGCAGCATTTTCCATCTTGATCATTTTTCATTCATGCCAGTTGTCTGAAGTGTTCTGTGATGATGAAATATAACCTGGGGATAACATGTTTGATTAATGGCATTTCAAAGGTTTTCAAGTTAGTGTCTGTTCGTAACAGCTTAGGTTGAACAATTCATCTAAGAATTTGCAAATGAGGCCAAATTTGATTTTGTAAACAAATACAACAATTTTCAGATTTTAAGTAGCTTGAATCTTGCTAAATATATTTTGTCTGCCTTTATACAGAACATCTGTTCCCTTCACTTCCAAGGCACAGATGCCTGGAGAACTGCAGCTGAGGGGGGTTTTGTAATTTTAACAATGCAGAGTTTGCATACCTTCAAATTTTACACTTTCCATTTATTTCCCTGATATTCCTCTTTTTCATTGCTAGACTGGCAAATCAAGTGTTCCTACCGCAACATTAATCTGCTTTTCAGCTCCTCAGAGCATGTGCTAGATGGAACCAATCAGCCCAGGATCTTACCAAACCCAGCTCTCGGATCCCCACAGCAAGGGAGGTACTGCACCAATGATATGTAGGTCCCTCTAGCTATCGCCCCATGCCTGAACCAGAAATATACCCCCCAACAGATGACCCAAAACAAAACAAGTCACTCAGTGGGTGAAAATTCAGGTACTAAGTTTAAAAAAAAGAACTGAGGAATCTAAGACTGACTAACTTATCTGTAATCTTAAGAAAAAGCAGGAATTGTAGAGAAGGTATCAGAAAACAGGGGTTTGAGACTACTTGAAGAACTCAACTCAAGGAAAATTCAGATATATTCAGAATGAAAAATGGGCATTATACATTATCAAAAGAACCTGAGCAATGTTACAGCTTAGGAGATAGACAAAGAAAAGGCAATAGGACTTTTATACCTATGTCCGTCCAAGTCCAAAAGTATGATCAGAAATGCCCATTTACACATTATAGAAATGTTGGTTGGAAGGCACCTCTAGAGATCTCTAGGCCAACCTTCTGCTTGAAGCAGGATTATCATCACACTAAATCAGGTCACCTATGGTTTTGTCTGGATTTATCTAGCGTCTGAAAATCAAGAAGCACTCACTGCTTTTACAAATCGAGGTGCTAAAAACCTGACTTCTTACTTTCAGATTTCCTAAGCACCTGCAGTTTTGCCTTTTTGGCAGTGCAGAATTTTCTCAGATCGAGCAGGTAGAAAAGTTTTAATGCAGGGAGATCAATGCCCGAGCCTTCTGAGATGCCCAGTCCTTCAGGCTTATCACAGAGAGAGGGGTATCATTTCCCCTGCCCCATGTTGTCGTAATGACTTTCCATTAAATTTAGAGCAGCGCTGGCAAAAATTCTCATGTTTTCCAATCACTGGAAAAGCACCTAATACTGAGAGGAAGAAGGGGAGTCCTGGGTTCTGAGAGCAGGCTAGCAGTTGGTTGAGCACCCTAAGCCTGAGCATACAAACCACTGTACAGCAGAACTACACTCTTTACTCCCCTTGTGATTCAATGTGTCTTGCAGTGCTGTAGATACAATGTCCCAGCTCCAGTTCCAAGAATGCAAAGTCCTTCCTCATCTTCATACAGACCATCCCCCTAACCTAGGGACTACCACGATCTCTGGAATGTGTAAAACATTGTTTTGAGTTCTGTCAAGCTGAGGAGAACCTCACTTGTTAGATGAGCGCTCTGATCATTAACTTTTTATATGGAAGCTGCACCCCAAATCCATACAAAAAATATTTATAAGCTTCCACTTGCAGAGGAAGAGTTTGGATCCCTCAGACAAGCATGTCTGACTGTAGCTTCACAGTCAGAGAGTTGGAGTTTAAGGCCTGTCTGTGAGCACTGTACTGTTAATTTCCTGGTTCTAGGCATCACCTCACTCAGTCTAAGGTTTTTTTTAATATCACCTTTCTCAGATGCCCAGTTCTCTCTGAGCACTCTAAGGTGAGTTTAGGCATCTTGTCCTGGGTCCAGGAGGACTCACTTGAAAGTGAGGTCTTTAGAAGTCAAACCCTGCTACAACTGCAGTGTCTAGTTTGTTAACTGGATCTGGACCTAAGTCCCCTTTAACAAAGGGATCTGATAATTTTGGAGACTAGTTTTCAGTGAAATTCAATGGGAAACATGAGTTCAAACATATAAGCTCCTGCAGCTTGGAAGCTACTCACATCAGCTCACCCACAGTAAATAAACTCGTACACTCTGTTCGCAGCAAATAAAAACCTAAGAAGCTTATTTCAATGACCGAAGGCAATGAAAAAGGATCACATTACATCACTTCACCTTACATTTGTTATGGGCTAAGAGTACAATCAGGAATGGTTGCTATGGCTCTGTTGAAGCGTCACAATTCGATAAACTGTGGTAACACAACTTGAATATCTTGGTATCTCAGGGCTCAGACACACAGTCCTTTTTTTCAAAATGGAATTTAAGCCCCTAAGACACTTTAGTTCTTAAAAACTGTCACATCAATGGAAAAAAAAATTCAAGAAATCCTAAAGCAGAACTATGATCACAGATATTGTTAAATCACACAGAAGGTAGTAAAATCACACATTCTTTCTAGCTCCTGTAATATGTAGCCGTAATAAAGTATGGAATACTATTAACATTAAATACACTGTTGCTTTAGTAGAATGAGGCTGAGTCCCAATGTTATTTTAATCCATTTAGGCATGTGCAAATGGCCTGGAACTTGAGGAGTTAAAGAGAAACATTCAGTAAACCTGGAGCTGTTTGTCTGAAAATGACTTATACTCTTGGGCGTAATATCTTTTACAAAATTGAACCTGGCACAGTGTAATACAGTAAAATTTTAGTAATAAATTTCTTTCCTTTTTCAAGTTCTCTGCCAGAAATATCAGTCTATCAGCCAACAATGAACATACTATTGCACTTAGAAAAGCAAGAACTTGCCAATCCTGCCATCTACTGGAAAAATCCTACTACCGAGTAATTCCATACTTTCATTCTCTAGAAGATTGGCACAGGAAATGTGCAAATCCCCAGGGTGAGAAGAGAGTCCCTAGACATCTCATGACAGAAATCTGCTTTCCTAATTGAGAGATTCTTGATAATGATATCTGTAGGGAGAGGAATGCACAACAGCTGTTTGCAATATATTTGGCTATCATCAACAAGCCACAACTCAAAGTCCTCACTCAGTTTTTATCCAGTCTCCTGCTGATTTCAGTAATAATTTTGCCTGACTAAAGAAAGAATGGAAAGGGAGCTAAGGCCTCACTTGGCTAATAGTTAGTTTGGGAACTAAATATGCCTCCAGAAACCATACATCAGATACATCAGAGTGCTTTACAAGTCCTGCTTAGAAGGCAAATTCTAGAAGCATAATCTTTACGAGCTTATTTTTTCATTCTTTGTTTGCCACATTCTCTACACAAACCTAGTCATCACATGGCTTCAACTAAAATCCTCTTTCTTCCAGTAAACAACAACTGCTTTATATAGATTTTTAAAAAAGTTTTGAAAAACAGCTTATCTGTAGTCCTTGAGCATGTATTAACATTCTCTCTGTATTGTATTAACATCCCACTACAAGGACGATATTCTTTCCTTCATTTCCCCTTCCATTCCAGTTTTTCAGAGACCAGGAGAATCAGCCCCAATGAAGATGCAGCCGGGAATACAAATTCAATTACTTTTAGTTATCCAGCTTCGAAATCAAGGTAAGAAGTGCACCTGGGCTGTTCAAAGGAAAATGCAAACCAGTAATATATCCCCTAGATAACACTCACAGTCTCTTTAACAGTGGAAAAGAAGACTGAAATTGCAGTTTTCCTCCAAATTCCGTAACACCACAGGCTGTTCTATAGCTTTACACCAAACACCTGCATTATTAGTGGGAAAGAGGTGACTTCTTGTTTGGCCTGAAGCTTTTTCCCCCCATGAGCTCAAGTTATGACAACTGTGTCTTCTCAGCAAGAAAAAAGGGACTCCTAAAAAAAAATAAATAAAACCATTTGAAGTGAAGACAGATCAATGTTTTTAAGTATTGCAGAATTCAGGAACTGCACAGAGATTTTTCCTTCTTGTGACATTAATATACAATTTTAGATAGGATTTCTTTTGAGTATCTCCTTAAAATATTTAGAGACACCCTCATGCAAACTATTCTAGTAAAATAAAATGACACTAACAGCCTGGGTGTGTCAGGCTTGGCAAAGATTATATGTCATATTTTCTCAAAAGAAGTACTATTTTGTTATAATTAACTTAGCAGGTTAGCAGAAACTACCAATTTTTTTGACTGTTCCTCGTTTTTTTCACTTATGTTCATTTCCTTGTACTTTTCCTCCACCAAAATATCATGCCAAGTTAGTATACTCCCAGAAGTTACAGTCTTACTGTGCTTTAACAGTTCTAGCTGTTACCACCCTTAGGAAAGTATGCTTTCTATTTTTCCTATTACAGAAGAAAGAACAAATGGGAAGGGATTTTTTTCCTTTCATTTTCCAAAGTAATCCGCCTCCGGAAGAACAAAAAATCATGGAAAATTTTGGATGCCAAAATTAATGTTTTAAAATTAGACTTATGTTTAAGATAAACTAAATAAAAAGAGAAGTTAAAATGGAATTTAGACAGTACCTTCTGAAATATATTCTATATTTTTCATTTTTTGTGTTACCAGATGAACATTCATAAGAGAATAGTCCTTGACTGGTGCTGACATCTCCTTATTGAATTACATAAAAAGAGATATTTCACTGAATTCATAGTCATTTCCTTAGTATTTCTGTTTTGGTTCACTAATTTAGCAACTAAAGATTAGTAGCACAAAGACATAGATAGTGGAATTCTGTTTTATATCAGGCAGAATTATGTTCTACTGGGACAGTCAGTAAAGAATAATGGAAATAACTATATTTTAAAAGATAGAATACATAAAAGTAAAATTTCTCCCTATAGCTTCTGTTGTGCTTCAGTTTACAATTTTTATCATTATATTTCTCAATTCACCAGTCATGCACTAATTATTCTTTAAACAAGACTAAATCTTTAGCTTATATAGAATAGCATCATTATACTACACCATCTTATATCAGTTGAGAAGCTATCAAAGAGCAGAGGTAAGTCAATGATTTAACTACATAAACACAAGATCTCACTGAGGATTGGAGAGTAGACCACAAAGTAATTGTCAGCAAAAGTCATGAGATTGTTTACTTCTGTATGTATACATAATTTCCTACATCTATATGTATATGAAAACTTAATTTCCTTACAGTAGGCAAAAATACTACTGCTCTGTTCAAATAAATAGCAGCCCTTGTTTATTGAAGCAAATATACACATGACATACCCACATCCTTCTTTATTGAACTCACTATACTAGGCTTTTCTACGTGACAGAAAATCTTTGGCTCAGCAGTAGCAGTAGTTTTGTTTCACTCTCTGTGAGAGCTTTTACAACTGGTAAGCTTGCAGCTCTGCCCAACCAGAAAGCTACTGGCCAGTTTTAAGAATCCACATAAGAGCATTAAGAAGTCCTGAGCTTGAATCTCCTCCAAAATATGCCACCTTTGCCAGTATATCTGTAGAACAAAGCCCCCCATGTTGAAAAAGCAAGGAGATATAGGAATAGAAACATAACCTTCTTACTCAGTTGAGTCCACAAATATACTCGCTTGTTTCAGGACCCTACCAACTTCAAGCTCATCTATTCCTCTAACTGGAGATAGTCAGACTGATGCTGACATCCTCGCTTTCATTAAAGCAAGAGAGAACATCCTGCAAAAGAAAGGTAAATCCTTCCGAAAAATGAGAGGCCAAATAGAAATTTCCAGTACAGCATTTCAAAGCTGATGCAAACGGGAACTGATTCTGGTAGTTACATTACAGTATGTCCTCAGCAGTTCAAAACACTGGTGGTTCTTCACATGTATTTATTTTAGTAGCTCAGTGCTACAGTGTAAAACTCTGAAGGCTATCTGTTTTTCTCCACCACCCTGGATTAACTTTCCGTATCATCCATGCCTATGCAGCCCACATGGTATATTTATTTGCACTGAAATAAATACTGTTAAGTGTTGTTGATTGATAATTAAAATATTAAATATAAATATATACTAAAATATTAAATATACGTTTTCTTTAAAGCTATCAGGCCTGATTTTCAGCTGCTGTGATTCAGTATGGTACTAATTTAGCTATAACAATTGACACCAAATAAAGATTATGCAAATGATTACATTGCACCCTACCTCATTAGGCAAACTGGCCTGCTATGTCTAACAGAGTCTTCCATTAACAGGTATTTCATTATATCATAAGATACTAAAATTTTCTATGGGTATTTGACACTAAATCAGATACTGGAAACGATCTTAGATAGACAATAAAGTTCACTCTTCAGTATAGATAATTAAAATTGGCAGGAGGCAGAAAGCACTCAATACACAACAGCAGCAAAACAAGGTAGTCTGGAAGTAGTTCATCGTGATAAAGAAAAACCGTCTGGGATTTTCTTTTTTTATTTAATTTTTTAAGTAAGAGTTTTTAGTGGCAGCAACCAATCAGAGAGAAGATGAAAGCAGCGGTGGTTGCTGAAGCAATAACTTTCCATCAGCACTTGAGTGCTGATGACAGCAGTACTCAGCAAGCTATCAGCACCTGGCAGATGGTGTTAGCACTGCCACAAAGTGGGGCTTCGGTATCACCCTGCTTATCAGGAAACTGTCAGGTAAACACACAGTGGCTGAAAAAACAGCCTCATTGTGCCCATCCCAAGCAAACACTTAACACACTTAGGCGTTTGGTTCACTTTTGGTTTACTTTAGAAAAGCTGTTGTAAAGTTTCTTCTGCAAATGAAATTAAGCTGAATTTGTAGGCAGCTCACCAGAAGCAGGTTAGAGGTAAGTGTCTTAAAACAAACATTTAAGGCCTTTAAAAGGTCCAAATCTGATCCATTTTGTGAAGTACAGTTACCTAGCAAACAGGAGCATAACTTGTCTTGTGATCATCTCCTTAAATCATACCATATCAGGATTGTACCTCTCAAATGTTGTTTTTATTTTTTGGTTTTTGTTTTTGTTTTTTCAGCCACAAGCTATTACCTAACATCATACATCAGTTTCAGAAAGTACTAGGCATTATCAGCATTGACAGCTATTAGGCCCCAAGTTATAAAAGGTATTCTTGCAGAATGGAGGCCAATCTATTTTTAGAATTGTGTTGAAGTTCAGTTAGGCAGGATGGGCTGCATCCTGCCCTAAGTAGCTGAAAATGGTTGGAGTAGCATTTGCATAGCGCTTACTCTGGTCATGCTGCCAGTGCAGGGCTAGATAGTTCGACTAGTCACTAAATACAGGCAAGACAGAAAAAAAAACTTCCTATACATGACCCATGTATTGCAAGCTCATAGAGACTTCCTATGTAATAGATAAAAGACAGCTGAGCAGCAAGTTATGAGAAGGAGTTGGAGTCAACCTGGCAGATAAAAGAAGGGTTTTCTTCTTTGATGATCTGTGAGGAAAAGGAAGGCCTCCCAGATTTGAAGGGTGAGGCCACTGATAGCAGGAATTATTGATCAAACCTGTTTGTTAATTCTCATCTAGTAAGATGAAGAAAGGCAAAACCTAAGGAGTCATAATTCATGCATCCACCCCTGAGGTGGCTTCTCTAACTAGGAGGAGCAAACAGGCTGAGAGAGTGCCTCTGCTACTCCTGTGTCTGTGATAGTGGTATATATTCCCTTTTCTATGAGCACTGCTTGGCACAAGATATGCCCCAAAGGACAGGACTGGGTAGAGTCACCTATGATTCACACTGCCCACCAATCCCTCCTTTGATCTCCCTTGGAAATCAAGGGGATAAAGGTCTTGCCTAAAGGTGTGTCTCACCACACCTGTTCTCACTTCTTCTCAAGGGAGTTTGTGAGCTTCTCTCAAACATCTCTCAACTGGCTTTTCTCAGCTACTTGTCCTGTCTTTCATCACTCCTACCTGGCATGTTTCTAAACTACATGGAGGAGAGAGAGAGGCATAGCAACTGCTGTAGTGTTTGTACATCACTGGCTATAAGGAGTTCCCCAGAGCAGTTGCACCCAAAGCAAAGGAGAACTGGAGGATTAGTTTGGGGAGGGGCATAGAATTGTCCTTAAAGAAAAGCTACCAGGGGTAAGGGAAACTTAAATAGATAGGAGAAGCAGAAGAAGGAGGAATTTACCCAGAATGCGTACTTTGAGAAAAAATGTTACATGTTATCAGTCTCTCGTAGAACTTTTCCTCAATAAATCTCAAACAGCTCCAAACTAAAACAGAGAGAAATGTTAAGTGGCCCAGAGTCACTGTCGAGTGGCTTCGTACAAAAGCCACTAAGTCATGTAGAAGTTAAGTCTGCTGAGTCTCTGTCCAGTGCTCTGTTCTCGCAAGCCCTGTACTTTGGAAACCCTCTTTGGCCAGGATGTTCAGTAAGCGTTTCAGCACATATGTGCAAATGTGTGCTTTTCCTGTACAATTATTTCCATGCAGAGCTTCACTCGTTTTCTAGGAGTGTCCTGCAGGAAACAACATGAGAAAGCATTGGTTCAGCCAAACCAAAGTCTGCTAGGCTTGAAAAATGTCAGCGTATTTCCTGCTCTTTTCTTTATTGATCCTGACCTTTTCAAACTGTTCTATTATATCAATAGCTTAGAAGCAAACCGAAAGCCCTACTTTGCATTAGCTGAAAAGAGAGGATAAAATGTGTGCAGAAGCCAGTGCAGTGGAAAATAAGTTTCATAAATAGAAAGCATGGGAATGCTCAATATCCCTAGTGACAATAATACCAGGGAGGGAATGAGAGGTCTCAGAGGACATTAGCTCAGTCTGTAGGTGGTTGCCATTTACTTTCTAAACAGAGATGAATTAAAGCAGGTGGCTTGCTGGGGTTGCTAATACAATGCAACATTGGAAAGCTTTTTACAAAAGGCTGCTCTGCAAACATGTGCTTTTGTTGCTTCTGTCAGTCTTGAGATAGAAAAATGAAAACTGCAGAGAAATAGATGAATGATATTTTGTCTTAAAAGCTTTAAATTAAAAAATATCTTTTTTTCCCCCTTCTATCGCTTTGTGTTTGTTTGTGAATTTCTTTTAAAACTGATGACACGTCCTGAAATACACTCTAACAGATTCTTTATCTCCTTTCAGGCTTGAGGAACAAGTGAAATTCATGTTGCAGTCCGCTATTTACTTTTAGAAGTAGTTAAAGACTTCTTTACCTTCCTCTTCTGTTTAGAAACCAGGTACAAATAACTACTTTGGATATATACCTTTAATTGGTAAAGCTGTACAAGTGACTTGCATGTGACAGAAAAATCCATTTCTCTAGGGAATGATATTTGAAGTTTTGCACTCAGAATGTTGAACTTGCGTTAAGATTTAGCAAAACTAAAACAACTAAACAGGAACTTGCCAAGTGTGTTTATTTACTGAGAATTTGTTGAGTGTTTTCTAATGTCAAAATTATCTAATGTTTTAATTCTCTTCTACATCTTCAGTCCGAGGAAACTTATTGTTACCGATGGATTTTTTTTTCTTCTTTGGTATTTGTATACTGGAAGCTTGCAAACAAATTCAGTCCAGCAGATTTACCTGCAAGGATTTATGTAAGACTTTACTGATTATGGTTCAGGTGGTTTCCAGAGATGTTTGTGCAAAATAGTAGTTATCTGGGTCATAAAATCCTGCAAATTTTCATTTGAGACCTTTTGCTGATGACAATGCATGAGTTCTACTTTTTTCCCTTCCCCAAAAAGTAGCTTTCATACTAGATGATTAAGATACTGAGGTTGTGTTGTAATATGAAAATTAATTTTCATTGGAAAGAAATTCTACAATTCAAAATTATAATGTTTTTTCATGAGAATACATTAGATGGTATGCAAAACATACACCTTCCCATAATATCCAGTTTTCAGAAGAAACAATGACATTTGATAGGCTTAAAGCAAAACAGGACCATTAATTGTAAAACACAAATGAAATCCGAAAAAATAAGTGCAGTTATATATTATATACAGCATAACTTCGCTCTTGACACAGTGCTGCTTTATTACATAACATGCTGTCTTACTTTACACTTCAGATTAAAACAAATGCAAAAATTCAGCACAAAAAGTCTGTTTCTGAGATATGCGTATTTTCAGATTGAAAACACCGTTTTTCATGCTAGTGATAATCTTGCAGTCGTATAATTGGAAGGGTTTGGGTTGTTCACATAAAAATACAGTAATTATTGGCAGGAGTAACATATCATTCTCAAGGATGTATATTTCCTCAAGTTGCTGTTGCTGGATTCTGTGACAAATTCAGAATTATTCAGAAGCACATGATGAAGCGATATGTGTTCAAACCTATAGAAGACATATGTTTATCAAAATAACAACTAAGATGCAATCAATAAAGAAATATTTAAAGTTATGCCTTTTTCTGCATTTCAATTTTCTGTAAAATTCAGCACAGCTGGCACATTAATTGGTATACTTTGTTCAGAATTAGGAGGTACAAGCTAAAATGACAGTCAAATCTCTAGTTACTTTGAGAAAGGAAAAGAGTCTGACAACTTGGTGAGATGTGGAAAAAGCTACAGATCTGCCCTTTTTTTGTGTGTCAGCTTTGCTGGAGATTTTGTTAAACTGTCCTTTTTTTCTGCCTGAGTCTTTTCCTGCTTGTCTTTATCTTTCTTCTTCTCTCAGAGGTTATTCTTTTAAATATATATACACACATATTTTGGCTGTGCAGAGTATGCAAGTTTCTGTTCCTTGCTGCTTTTTCCAAGAGAATGGGGATTGAGGTGGAGGGAACTATTTAGTTCACTTTAGCAAGAGACATGGAAGAGAGCCAGTATCTTGCGATCAGCCAGCTCTCTCTGCACCACAGTTTAGGAATCATTCTGCTAGAATGATTCACTCCTCAAGTTGGTTTTCTGCTGGCCCTCTCTTTTCGCCAGTCATGCTGAATTAATGTTTATAAAGCCTTAGTGAGGTGAGCAGGGCCACTAACCTTTACCAATCTAACCCAGCTAGCTGGAGAAGAACCAGAGGCTCCAAACCATTGCTGAATAAAGTAGCTGTCTTCTCCTGTTTTCAGTAAAATCCCCTTCACAGTGAACTTATTTGGATATTGCCAAAAGAGAATTATTGGTAAACTAGCTCATTTCTTTTGACCTTTAAATGTTTCCAACTGATTAAGACAGGGATCCCAGTGCTATCCTCATACAATGTATATAACACTGCTACATGATGTTAACATATCCGGTGTTTTACTCGCAGTTTACTAAACCTCTGAGTCCCAGACAGAGAAGATTGCTTGATTTCTGTTTCAAAATCCTCCAGTCTTTTTTATAATGACTTAAAATTGGTGTGAGATTTGATCATCAGTATCAGCAAAGTCAGGCCTGATTTGCAGAATGGTCTCAGGTTAAGATTATACCAATGCACATGAAAAGAGCTTGACCAAGAGGGCATCTGGTAATACAAAACCATATAATTAAACAGAAATGCAGAAAATTGGCACTTCTTCCTTCTTTTGGATGTTTCCACAGCAGTTTTAGCCAGAAAAGTTTGCTCATTCAATACACAATAGTCTTAAGAAAAAAAGCATGTTTGTTTTTTTTTTTAATAAACTGCATGCATTCTTCAATGGTTTTCTCTTTGAGTTTATAGGAAAATTCAGGTTGGAGGGGACCTCAGAAGGTCTTTAATCCAACCTCTTGCTCAAAGTGTCATCAGCTATGCGATCAAACCAAATTGCTCAGGGCTTTATCCAGTCAGGTCTTGAAAACCTTCGAGGATGGAGACTATACAACCTCTCTGGGCAACCTGTTCCGCTGCTTGACTGTCCTCATCATGAAAAAGCTTTTCCTTAATATCCACTCTGAACCTCCCCTTGTTACAACTTATACCTGTTGTCTCTGATCCTTCCACCATGGCCCACTGTGAAAAGCCTGGCTCCATCTTGTTGATGGCCTTCTCACAAGTGTTAGAAGGCTACTGAGTTCCCCTGTAAGCCTTCTTGTCTTCATGAAAGCACTTGTTGCTTCAGGAAATTTTGGCTGGCCACAAGCGCACAATGTTACCTATTTTAATAATGTATCTTCAAATAATTTCTAGATTAATTGGAAAGGATCCCAGTATTTACAATATTGCAGAATCAGTCAGTGGCCCACATTTGTAATGGTCTTGAGCCTGCCTAACCGCCTGTGAAACCATATTGGTACAGGGTTTCTCATGCATGACTGACTCTTATCTGTTCACCGTGATATCTAGCTGCTAGTTGTTTAAATACGTATATGGTAAATACAATTTATTATTTCCAACCAGAGTAAATCCAAAGATCTTGTTTGTGGAGATTTCTTGAGGCAGTAGCTCTAGCGCTAGATGTCATACAAATATTTCCAGGATTGCTCTGTGCTAGCCATTATGGGTCATCTCATCTCTCATTTCAAGTTATTTCTAATCATTCCATATAGTTTATTGTAGGAGAAGACAGACATCCACTGAAGTCTCTTATAGCGACATAGCTTCTGGGAGGGCCAGGATACGATCCAGATTTCTGATGAGGACCAAAGGGCCTGTCCTCATCCATGCTGAATCCACCAGGGATCTCTGCACAGCCTGGAGCCATACTAGTAAAACCAGTCTTAGGCTTGGGCATTTGTATCCATTTGCACCACTTCCTGGTCACCACAGCCTTCCAGGGAGCTCCAAGGAGAAAGTGGCACAACCTTATGTTGAGTTTCTCTCACTTGGAAGATGGACGCCCTACCAGTTCAATGTCCCATTTTCCCTCTTGTGGTTTTTATGAAATACGTTTACAGTGGAATAATGAGGTTCAAACATGTAACGGTGTAAGCATATTTTGTAATACCTTCCCAGCTAAGAGATTTTATTGTTTTTACCTAAGTTTGCTCAATCAGAGGATGCAAGCGTTCTGTATCAATAGTATAAACTGAGGGCATGTCAACAGAAGAGTGTTAAGCTCTTGTAAATGCCAGCTGTACGAACTATTCAGGTGGTGAATACAGATGTCAACAAAAAGAAGATCTAGGAATGACTTATTAGCTGTAGCATGTTTCGTAGCTCTATATATAATTTATTTGTCTTTTCAAAGTTCATTTTTAATAACTGCAACAATTGAACTTCTATTTTTAGATGATTTTATATTAATCACTTTTATTGTGGTTTAAATCAGTTAAATTGACTTTTGGCAATGTTTTTTTGTTTCACTTCCTGTAATGTTTGCTTTGAAATTTCACCAATAAGGCAAGCAATGTAAACTAGAAAATTGTAATAGTTATTATCGGTGCCTTGAGTTGTACAATCGTATTGAAAATTTGTAACTGAAACTTTGCTTTCCTTTGCTCTCAGGGGCCATGACCTGAGATTTTCTGAAGATTGTCTTCTATTCATGTTTTTTGGCAGCTTAAGTGCTTCATTTGACACAGACAATAAACTAAGTAAATACTTACATTTTGGGCCAAGAGTGGTTTACACAAATGTATTTATATTGATAAAAAACTGAAACAACAAGGTACACCTACAGTACAATAGCTATAGAATTCACGGAAACAACAACTTTTTCGTGGAAACTGTTTAAAGAAAAATGCCGTTAAAATCTTGAGGCATCTGAAAGGGCTCCATCCTTTCACCTATGTGAGTGTAATCAGTAAGTCAAAATGGTTGGCTTAAATTTGGAGTAGGAACAAAATCAACAGTAGAAAATTGCCAGATGGCAGTGTCATGCTTGAATAAATACAGTAAGTTACTTTTATTTATGTTTATCATATTTCTAAGTAATTTCTTTAACTCTTCTCTGAAATGCAGAGTTTAAAAGTTATTTGTGGTGCAAGGCAAATTCAAAACAATCCAGTGCTTCCATGTACAAGTTGTTCAGGCTGGATTCATACTCTGTGGAGGAACAGGCCCTTGGATCCTTGCATTCAAGTTGTCATCTAGTTCTATTCAAAGAAATTTGTTCGAGAAAAATAGCCCTAAAATTTGTCTTTCATCAGAAATTTGAGTAAGACAGGATCAGCCAAGGTATCTTTCAACCATTTCATTGCTTATTTTAGAAATAGCTTCTTCATGTCTATGTAAATTATTCTGCTGATGATTATAGTGGTATTTTTTCTGGTATTTTTTTTGAAATACAAAGTAGGAAGCCATGTCAGTTATTTTATGCTTATCCTTTATTTAGTATCTGTCCATTTTTAAGAATTGTCAGGGACTGTAAAGACAATAGGTCAAGGAACTGGAGAATACTGAATCCCCTGATTTGCTCCAGGGAATACATATAAGGTGATTCGTAAACTTGATGGTAGGCCAGGGTGTCCTATCGACATCTGTCCTTTCCAAAATGACTCAGATTTTCTGTGGGATAGGCTGGGCCCCAGTGGGTCAGTCACATAATATGTCAGCATGGGAGGAGGAAGAAGCGGTAACTGAAGCAATAATTAAGGAGGTCGTGTTCATATCTAGATCCAAAATACATTTTGTGAAAACTACTTCCTTAGATTTGAAACTAAGTGCATCCTTCCATTCAAGGTTGGCAGGAAGCACTGGAACTGTAAGACCTTTGTGTTAACTTCCAAGTTCAGCTATTCTCAAGAGCAGTTTTGCTTTCAACATTTTTTATTTCTAATGTTTTCTCATTTAAGTGTTGTTTAATTTTTTAATCAGAAGATGGCTAGAGGAACACCAAAAGAATTTAGATTAGGCATTGTGCTTTGTCATGCCATCATCAAAAGTGATCTGCTAATATTGTTATTTTGGCATATTATATTTATACCTTTTTACCTGGAAGCCAAATTTCATTTCCCATGTGGTAAGGCCTGCTAAGCTCACTCTGCCAGGTTCAGAACTCACTCGGAAATCGTGAGTCTTCAGTTTAATTCCAGATATATAGATTTGAGGTTTTTTAACCCATGGAAAGACATAAATGCTGGTCTACTGCAAAGAATCTTGTTTTGTTTATTTCCTATGTTGTAATCTAAAGCTAAGGCAGGAAAAATTTTGCAGACAGAATATTGATGATTTGTATAATTTGAAATCTGCTGCTATATATTTCTGTAGCTTTTCCATGGGAGTAAATATGATAGTATCAGTCACTTACAGACTGTTATGTTTAACATTTTGAGAGCACACTGTTCTATTTAGCTGTATGGAACTGTGCATGTTTGTGAAAATACTTCCTTAAACATGTGCTTCATAATTTTGCCCTTACAGTTATCTGTAAGATCATTCAGCTGGAAAGTGGTTCATCCCTAACTGCACATCTACTCTGCACTTTCTCTTGCACATACAATTGATTTTTTTTATTTTTTTGCTTCTTTCTTTAGAAACCACTGCTTACTAAGTCAGCCTCAGGACACATCTTATCTCATATTCTACATGTCCGTTGCAGTCCACGCCAGCTGTCAGTTATGTTTTATTTCCCATTAATTGATTTTTGTTACCTGTTTTTTTGAAATGCTTTTCAAATAATAGTAGTGGTAAAGATGATAACACCTCCTCTGATAGGTGATTATAAATCATTTCCCTTGGCTAACCAAATAGGATACACCTCTAATGTTGACGTACTTTAAGTAGGAATGTCTAAAGTACAGCGGTAAACTTATCTTGTCAAGTTTAGTAAGTCAGTTTGCAAAACCCTCAGAAAATTAAGATCCTGCAATTAAGCCTAATCATTTCTTTTTTTAAGGAATGAGAATTTAGACTTCCAAGTTTGGCAGATGGAATGCTTTGTTGAACAGAATAGAGGGGGACCTAAAAACATTCACTGATGTATTTGTTCATTAATAATTTAGTTAACAGTTTATTACCTTTAATCATGTTACCTACTTCAACTGGGGGAATCTGTCTCAGCCCATCAAATGCTGTCTGAATATGTTTGCATCCATTCCAGAAAATCAGTAAGATAGCACTCTCCTGGACTGGTAGAAGTAGGTCCCATAAACTGTAACATGAGAAATGTCTGAATGTCACACCTGTGACAAGCAGTGTGACAAGCAGTTGTGCAAACATCCCAGGCCCATCTACCCATCACGTTTCACAGGGTATGGAACAACAGGTTGTACCTTTCAGTTACGGAAGTCAGAAACAAGATAGAATCTCTTGCTAGAATCTCTGAAAGTAATTGTCGCCGATACCATAGGCCACCGGAAGGTCTGCCATCAGGGATGAGTAAATTTGGCATCTCAGTTGCTTCAGAGCAGCTTGCTTCATAATGCTATTGCAAGTCTTGGTAGTATGAATCCCACTATAGCTTCTAGCTCCCATGTTTTACTTCAGCTAAAAGAATCACCAAAGCACCAAAGCTCTAACTTGAGTTTTTGCATGTTGCACTTCTCTACTAATCTCTTTCTCTCTCCTAGTTGCAGCAACAGAGCAATCCCAAACAAAGTCTAAGATACTCCTACTAGGAGTTCTCCACAATATGTGTGACTTTTCAGAGTGACAACTGGCCTTCTGCTGCCAGTCAGGCATGTTCTTCTGGGTGGGGATGTCTGGCTCTAAGCAAGGTTGGCAAGTACATAGTTTTCCCAGAAATTGATATGAATGAAAACAGTTTTTCACTTGAAGGTAGATGAAAAACAATCCTGAATATTAAGCCGAGGAAGGATATCTGTATCCTCTCTAACAGAACTTTTTAATAGGAAGGGAGTTTGGTAACAAAATCGCAGCCCTAGGCACCCAGTCTTCTTCCAGTGTGTGTATGTTTTCTTTCAAAAGCAGTCTGATAGTAGATGCCACTAAGACAGACACCATTAGGCTCTTCCTAAAGAAAGATATGCAACCCCAGCTCATTTTCAGTGCATGAAAGTCATTAAGGCTCCCATGAGTGAGTATGTGGTACTTCTTTAGCTAACGATTAACCTTTAGTCCTCCTTCCCCTTACGCATTTGGTTCAAAAGAGCAATATGAAGAGCGAAAGCAGCAGACATGAGTGGTTCATTCCCTAACTCAATGGACTAAGGGTTTTTGCAAGTGTGGAATCTTCTGACAAAGAATTCAGGACCAGCAGGCCAAGCAGTGAGGGGACTGAACTTTTTAGGGTTAGAAAAAAAAGAGAAGCTGTCTTGTGACGAGGCTGAATTCAGGATGTTTATGAGCTTCATTATGCTGTGCTCAGTGGTCCCACTGATATTTGTATGGTACAAACGGCAGCTATTGACTTTTCCATTTATTCAGCTCCATACTTTTCTTTGTTCTGGGGAGTCTACTGTAATGAGAGAGTTTAAAGTATTTTCTTGTACAGAAGTCCAGTGTTTAGGGTAAGACTCTACTAGTTAAGACTTAGAGAGTCTGTTCCTGGCTCAACATTTGTGTCACCCTGGGTAAGTCATTAAACCACACATTTACCTCAGCTTCCCAGCCTGGAAGCTTCCCTACCTTAGAGAATTGTGTCAAGCTTCATTCATTTGACTGAGATCTCTGGATAAAAGGCGTTTTAATAAGAGCAAAATATTATGATGCACGTTCTTATTAAGCCATAAATGCTCTCCCTTTATTCTGGATAAAGAACAGATGTAGACGGGTAAAATTTGTCTGTGTTTGTCTCATTTTGTACAGGCCTGATGCCTGTATGTTCTGTTAAAAAAATCGTTGCAGCAGTAGCTAGGAACATGGGGGTGTGATTGCTGGGTGCCCTGGCTAGAGTGCTCCTTGGAACAGTAACCTAGTAAGTACTGAGCAGGGACTTCAGAGCAGCAGCACCAGCAGCAGCATGCCCCTCCTCATGGTGCACAGCCGGCAGATCAGCTGGACTCTGCTGCTGGTACTGGGATATCTCTCTTACCTCCTCCTGGGCGCTATGGTGTTCCAGTTCCTGGAGAAACAGGCAGAGGCCCACTCTCGGGACCAGTTCCAGCTGGAGAAGCTCAAGTTCCTGCAGAACTACACATGCTTGGACAGGCAAGCCCTGGAGCAGTTTGTGCAGGTAAGAGGAACAGGCCCCCTAATTTTGGCTTGAGATTATTTCACATGGAAGCAATTATACCGTTTTGTCCAAATGTGTTATAAATTGATCTATTGTCTGTGATAATAAAGGACTAACTGTGCTAGAGGAAGACAGAGGTTTCTCAAGCTCCATTCACGCACCTTTGTGACTTTACCTTCACCTATTGCATTTCTTTCTTTTTCCGGTCATGAACTCCCAAAATACACAAGTCTGCTGGTGCACCTCTATGCTACCTTGCAGTAGTTCTAACTTTGCTATTCTTGTATCCCTTGTTAATTATTGCCTGGAAATTATGCATGGGGGAAAAAAACCTTACAAGAAGTAGGTTGCCCTGCCAAGGTACTTCAGCCCACACCTGTGCAAATTCTGCCCATCTTCGCTAGTAGGAATTGACTACTTGAGAGGTCTAGAAGTGCAAGACCGTTATCAGGAAAAGATTGAAGTCAGCCACCATGAGCTGTATTTTTTTCTTCACCCTTTATAATAAGTGATAAAGGGGTCTTGTTTAGTACGGTTTGAGAATGATTGACATATTCAATTGCATTTTAATCTATCCCTCAAAACAGGCAGGAGACAAATTATAAACCCCTCCTTGGTATTATTATGGAAATATCCTATCATTTTAGGATTGCAAGAATTGGACAGAAATCCTTGAATGATCACTTTCTTCATGCTTAAAATTTCTCCAGCCACAGAGCTGGGTGTGTAAACAGTTCTGTTTCTCTCAGGTCATTAAACCACTCCACACAGGATGCAAGTTTGCACCGTCTCAGTCAGAGGACTTCTGCCAAGGTATATTTTAATCAGCAAAGAGCCTAGATTCTGTAAATGGATTTAAGCAAATAATAAAGTCCAAATCATAAAGAGAACAGAAAGTGCCTGAACCTCTTTCTGCAAGGACAATGTTTTGATGTCTAATCCTGTGAAATGACTTGTGAAACATTTGTGTTATCCAGAAAGCATCTAGAGTTTTCAAGAACTTAAATGCCTAAAAACGTGCCTGCGTTTCTCAAATACACTGATTGGTGATATTACCTGTCTTTTCCTTGTCTCTGTAGTAATGATGGTAGAGAAGAGAATCCTCATTCTCATTCTAAACCAAATTGGGATACTTATAAAATTAAAAGGTTTAGTTCAATCTGTGGTACACTAGAAACCTAAGGGGAGGAAGGTCAGAAATATCCACATTCTCCTCCCTCTTGCTCCACTGGATCTTTATTAGTGCAGTGGGGCTACTCAGAGAATCGCATTTTGCTGAGTCTCAGCTGAATTAGATACAATTATTTCACTTTTAGCTGTTCCAGAAAAAAACAGCTGAGGGCACCAAATTATCAGCTACAATGCACCGAACTTCCAAGTAATTACACTTAATCCTCAAGGGAGCAGTGAATGTAAACACAGGTGCCATCTGACTCCCCTGTCATTTATAACCCCTCTTAAGAACTTTGTCCAGCTCTTACTAGTAATAACAAATAGACTCTAAAACTAATGCAGTGAACAAGTTATCTCTGTAGGTTTTTACTATATAGTCAAAGGCTTGTTCACCATGTCAGAAGTTCCAGTCTGAAAAGTGACAGTATTTGTGCTATGATGAGACACAGCCACCAGATTCAGTTTGCTTACCTGACAAGTATACAATGCCTTTTTTTACTGCTAGTTCTTTAAACCTGAATCCTAGAATCTGAGAATCAACTTGTGGCTTCTTTTTGCAAATCCATTATCATTAGTAATAGAGTTTGCATTTATAATTCATTAACCTTTGACCTGATTTTGCATGAAGCAAATTCTTGTCTTTCTCTGTCTATAATCTGCATGGGCTCCGACTAGCTAGCTGAGAGGTGGCCCTGAACAGCCTGGAGCTTTAGGAAAGTGCAAATCCAAAACTCTTGATCTAGTGTATCTAGGATAAACATACTTTTGTCAGAAAAATATGGCATACTGACAGTATAACCAGGAAGCAGATTAGTTGAGTAAGAAGGTGTCTTTTTAAATTCCCTTTTTTGATCATGCCCATACTTTTTCAGACCTAAGGCAATTGATATAAATACTGACTGACAGGGCCTGATCCTTGTCTATTACCGCAAGAGGTTGTAATGCATATTGGCAAAGGGACAGATACAGGAATGGCAGGCAGCTGGTACTCTCTCCACATCCTACTGTAGCCTTATGCAGACCTCATACTTTTACTGTAGGTCGTAGCAGATTGCTTTTCCTTGCTGGCTAGTTCTGGTCCCAAAAGCAACTGCAAATGTTCAGCAACCCTTCACCAAGTGTTCTGTTCTCACTTCAGCCATAAGCCCAGCCTGAGCTGTAGACAGAAAGGAGCTAAGAGGCACTGTGCTGCTCTTTGTCCCAAGCAGGAGATTGTTCAGGAACGATCCTCCTGCACCCCAGCATGCCATCTCTGTCATGAGGTTGCGCTTAAAAGAAACTCTGTCATACCAAGAAATCTGGGCTTGTCAGAATGCTTGAAGTGTTCAGCATTTAACGCTTCCCTTCTGGCCTTCATGATGTGGATGTAGTACCTCTGAACTTGTGTGCATTGAAATGGAGAGAACTGAGAAGTGTTCCTTACAGGGATGAATTGAACCTGAAATTGTTTCAGACATTTCAAATGACTCACACCTCAGTAGCTTCTGAGTATTCTTCTAACCAGCAAATAAAACATAGATAACTTGATGTGTCAAATTCTTCCCATTCTGAGGACGAGCTTTCAATGAATAGTGTAAGGCTTTTTGTGATATTAAAAAGAAAATCTGCTGGCACTTCTGTCATGAGATCACATGTGACAAGATGCCCAGCACCAGACACTTAGATTTCTTAATGAAGGAATAACATTAGCTATTAAACTTAGGATAGCCAATCCACCAACACAGAGAAGCTAATATTGAAGAACCTATGCAAAATTACAATCCCTATAATGGATATGTTTATTAGATAAGCAGCCTTTCTGGCAGCAGTCACCATTTGAATTAAGAAAGAATATGTTCTTTCATCTCATGCTCCTGGAACTAAAGCTGAGATTGCTGTTGAGTTCTCTACTAATGTCTTGCATCATAGAAGAGTACCTGGAAGACTAGGACTGTGAATTCACAAGTAATTCATTCAGTCATTTGGCACATGTGACCTGGACCTCAAAACAGGTATGTAACAAACAGGAGATTCTCCAGCCTCCACCCAGCCCATGAGCAGAAGGTACCCACTCCCTTTCAGAGAGATACTCAAAGAGGGCAGGGAACACAGTCTTCACTAAGGTGGCTGGCAAGATATTTAATATATGAATAGGAACTGCACACAATAGTTCTGCTCCTCTGATAAGAGCTCTCTGGAACAGCAGAAAATATTTCATTACCTAATATTTGAGACTAGAAGCCTGGTATTGATTGACAATACTGAGAAGCCATAGCCAAAAAACAGTAACTCATCCTCACTTGTGCTTACGTGGAGGAACTAGAAGTATGCACGTTCTTAATACCCTTCCCCCTTTGTGCTTACATGGAGGAACTAGAAGTATGCACGTTCCTAATACCCTTCCCCCTTTGTGCTTATATGGAGGAACTAGAAGTATGCACGTTCCTAATACCCTTCCCCCTAAGCACAAACATACAAGTACACATGCCCAAATTTAAAATTGGAATGGGATGGTTGGGGTAGGGGAGAAGAGGAACTGCCTTTGTTTTTTATGGTATCACTTCACTTCATTTTCCCAGCTCGATCACTTTGGGCAGTCCCTGTATTCCCTTCCCTTCAGCCTTCAACTAATTATGAAACCAATGCTACCTCAGTGGTCAATTCTCCAATGCAGCTTGTGGAGAGGGAGAGAGAGTTGAATTTCCTGGCCAGCTCCATTTCACAGAACTTTGCCATGCCAGCACAAGACCTCACTCAGGTCCTTCTAGACAAAGGCTAACCTGTTATGTACACTGCTTGTTGCACTGCTTGCTCAAGATCAAAAGCAATATTTACTTCTGCGTCTTTTCTGACGTTCTCCCTGACTTGGTCTAATGAGTTGCTCATCTTTGCTCCTCTGGCCTCTTCTGCTTCAGGTGCTCATGGAAGCATGGGAAAAAGGGGTTAACCCAGAAGGAAACTCTACCAATCCCAGCAACTGGGACTTTGGCAACTCCTTCTTCTTTGCAGGAACTGTTGTTACCACTATAGGTAAGGTACTTTTTTTTTCTTATGAATTGGGGGTTCCTCTAGCTGCCCTGTGAAGCCCCCAAAACTACGATTGTTGGACAGAATACTCCTGCAAGAGAGTCTTGAATACCGTGCATTACATTTTGCCATCAGTTTCCAATTATATCTGTTACTGTTATTTCATAGTGTATTACACCTGCAAAATTGGCCAAGTGCCTACTTGGTACATGCAATATGATTTTGTACATGCACAGCACATCTTCAGGTTGTTTTGAAGCACTCAGTTGCATTCCCCACAAAATCAGAGACCTATGGAAGATTAGGATACTCTTTAAATTAATATTTTTCATGTTAAATATTCTGTTAATAATAACAAATGCACAGGGTTCTATCAGAAGCTGTGGCAATTTGTAGACAGAATTCAGTGTGAAAAATAATAACAGACAGGCGTCCAGATTGCTGAAGCTTAATGGAAGCCTTTGAAGTTCCCATGATAGCCTGAATACTGACTGTAAAGCCTTTTCAGGTAGCTGTCTTGTCTTCCTTCTTTAATTCCAGGTTACGGTAACCTGGCCCCCAGCACAGTGGCAGGGCAGGTATTCTGTGTGTTTTATGCCTTATTTGGAGTGCCACTCAACCTGGCCTTCCTTAATCAGTTGGGAAAAGGACTCAATGCTCATCTGATTACTCTGGAAAGATGGGTGCACAAGCCAGGCCGTGCCCAGGTACAGTGTCAATTTATCATTAATTTCCATTGTTTTAAAACTGAGTAAAGCTGTTTTCTTAGATAGGTAGTGCTGCTGCTAGACTGAGTGTCACTGTGTGTGCCCACATTCTCTGAATCACACCAATCGCATGACCCTTTTTATCAGAAGACTGATGTATGTATACATGATGGCTTTAAAGCAATTTGCTTTTGCCTGAGGAGCTCCGGATTTGCCTTTTTAGACCCTAATTCAGCAATACTGTTAAGCAAGTGTGGTCTCAATTTTGAGCAGGTTCTTTGAGCTCTGCTGACCTTAGCAGAATACATGCACCTGCACGCTCTGCTGATATCAAGCTCACATTATCTAGCTCATATTATCTGTGCTAGCATCTAGCTCAGAATCTGGCTCTACACTGTGCAAGGACAACTTATTTTTATTGGCCCTGTTAACCTGGCTTGAATTATTTTCCCTGATTGTGCCAGCAATTTACCACTTCCTTCCTTTTCCTGTCTTGAATTGTAAATAAATATGCCTTCTCCTTATAAGTTTATTGCTGACTCACTGAGCTATTCCAAGTATATTGGAATAAGGGAAACAGTGATAACACAAAGTACTTGAAGATCGTTTATAAAGTTAGCACATATTTCTGAGTAAAGGTTCTTTGAATTGACCTGTTCAGTTAGGGAAAGGGAAGATCAGATATGCTTGTTGTAACTATCCTGACTGTCACGTTAAAACATCCAAAAACACTTCAGAGTTCTGGCATGTGCTTTTTTCTCTTTCACATTTGTGAAATCTCTGGTAAAGATTTGCTGGCAAAGCTATCCAGGTACTATCAAACGCAGACTCAGTTCATGAGACTAACTAGTTCTTTTGCTGCATAACCTATGCCTATTTCCCAAATACAGGCAGGTCTACCTCAAAAAGACATTCATGCCAGTATAGCTGCATCTTCTCTGAGATTTGTAATGGCACTTTACACCTGAACTAACACCTAATTTCTGGCAGAAATGATGAATCAGATAGAGCTTTGGAACTTTAACTGCTTGCTCACTCTGAAAAGCCTCTCCCAGGAAATTGGTTTATCTCCTTTCAAACACAATTTAACAATACTTTAGGTAATTAATTACAACTGATTCTTCCTGACTTACACTTTCCTATACCTTATGGGTTTGTACCAGAAAGTTCTTAAATGCCAGCCAAAAAAGTAATATTGAGCATTTCAGTATAAAGCTGTATGCAAACTTTACTATCTAATTAAATGTTATCACACTTCTACAATGAACTAAATGAGAACAGAAATCAACTCTAGCACGCCCATCAGTAATTCTCAAAGTGTTTTGCAAATTGAATCCATATTATTATACAGTGGAGAGACAAGGTAAATAATATAGAAGTGATTTGTCAAAGTCACCCCGTAGGCTCCTGCCAAGTTTCCCAAATTTTAGCGCAGGGAACCATTTTATGTGTGAGATAATGCAGAGAGAGAAAGAAAAGAAAATATTACCTGGACTTTCCATTTCATAAACCAAGTGGTTTGACTTTTCATCAAGTCACAAAAAGCACATGCATAGAATATCGTACTTTGGCTCAAATACCCATGAGGGCATTTTTAAACGATTGCAATGAGCTTGCATCAGACCACACATCACTAGTCAAAAGTTAGCCAGTCGTGAGTTCCCTGGGAACCCCTGAATTCCTGGTTCTCAATCCTTAGATCAAACCATGAGGTCATTCCTCTGTCATGACCCATCGACTGTTCTGTGTACCTAACTAATGCAGTCACATATGCTGTAACTTAGCTGCCCTTAACTTCTCCCAGAAGGCAGACATTTGTATTGAGAGATACGCATCTACCCTGTGCTGACAGAAAACAGTTCTGCTCTGAATGCTTCTAAGTTTAAAATAAAAGCAGGCAAACTGACTTCACTTAAATTTCATCCAAACATATTTTTGGCTGAGCTCTTGCAAGCCACTTTATAAATCTTTGGAAGCAGCAGTGGTGAAGAGAACCCTAATTTGTTCTTGCCAATCTTTGTATCATGAGTTATGCAATATTTGGTGCTTTTCCTAAAAGACTGTGTTCTTGGAGCCAAGTAATTATGAGAGCACCTCAGTTTGAATTGAAAATGTAAAGTAAGCATTTAATTCCTGTGGTTGCCAAAGTAAATTTGAAAATATGGCTTGAATCTACTTAAAAACTCATAGCGTAAAGCATAAAAAAACCCTTTCTCCCCCTGATTTTGAGATTTTTTTTGGACGTGTCATGCTCATGTATCTATGTGCAGCCTAAACAGAGAGGTCAGCCTGCAGTGCATGGAAGCATTGGTTTGTATTTCCTTTCTTGTACATTGCTCCCAGCAGTGGTTGGTTTGTGATCCAAGAGCAAAACAAAAACAGCAGTTTCCACTGGACACATGCTCAGTGCTGCTGAGCTGCCATCTTCTTTTTCTCTTGCAGGTGGTTCAGACGCTGGCAGTGGCCGTCTTCCTGACCACTGGGACCTTGCTTTTTCTGGTGTTCCCACCACTGGTCTTCAGTTATGTAGAAGGCTGGAGCTATGGAGAAGGCTTTTATTTCACCTTCATCACCCTCAGCACCATTGGATTTGGGGACTATGTAGTAGGTAATAAAAAGGGTGGACACGGATGAATTTTACACGTCTGTCTGCATCCTCACCCCACTGGGAGGAACTCTGTTGAAAGTAGTAACTCCAGTATAAACCTAAGTATAGAGAGCATAGATACCTATTCCACTGTAAGTCTGGTACCAGAGAGCTGAATCAGGTTGCTAATAATGAGATAATGTATTTTATGACACAGACATGTTTCTTGCAGCTAAGCTGAGACTCACCAAACTCATTTCACATATGACATTGAACTCTCATTCAATAGTAACTATGGCAAGCTGGTATGAATGCGATCCATGGGTGACTGGAATATAAGTGAAATCTCTTTCTTGGTATTAAACCTCACAGCCATCCTCTCCTAACAGTGATTTGTTTCAACTACTGCCTCCCACTCCCAACAAGTGGGAGTGACAAGAGTCAAATTTTTATGAAATTATGTCAAATGTGAAATGCTCAGTAGTTACAGTAAGGATAATATTAGTCACAACCTAGGAGGTCTGTGAAAGAAAATGAACCCAGTGGCAGTATACAGTCTTCAGGGATCTAAGCTGAGACATAGCAATGGAGATATGTGAGAAGCTGTCTTTCCATCAGCTTTTTTAAACTAATGCTTTTAATACAGGACATATAGTGTGCTTACTCATTAAGGACACTAGGATCTGTTTAGTTCATGAGAGGTAGCTCTCCTCTCCTAGAAGGAGTAACTACGTCATGAAAGGAGAGAACAAGCCCATACCATTCTGAATCCAGGTGCCATGAAATGTCATGATGATCTGGATGACAGAAACTAAATGGATGGCTGCAGTGCTGACTATCCTGCTTCAGTACCAGCTGCACTGAGTGCCCATTCTGTGCAAATACTAGTCTGGGGTTTGACTCCCATATCCATCTACTTAAAATGGCTGCATTTCCCAAATAACATTCTCCAAGTGATTTCAGACCCCGTGTACTCAAGTAACACTACAGAAATAATCATTACCTCACTGAGACGACTTTTTTCTTTGTCAGTGCCAGAAGCCTGGCCTTCACAGATTTGATGCCAGCTATTCTAGGCTTAACCTGAAATTTGGAACAAAAGAAAACAAAAAAAAAAAGATGCCCATAGATCATATAACCTTGTTAAACACACACCTTTGCAGGGGTGTGTGTGTTCATGTGTGTATGAGTGTGTGTGTGTGTTTGGAATCTTTTGGTGTGTTGCCTGGCAGTCCAGAGCAGTCAAGATTAATATGCAGAATTTCCTGCATTTTTCAGGCACAGACCCCAATAAGCACTATATCCCGGTATACAGGAGCCTAACTGCAATTTGGATTGTTTTTGGTTTGGCCTGGCTGGCTCTGGTCTTCAATGTGGGAGCTGACATGATGGAAAAATTCCTCCAGCTAAAGTGGCACAAGCCTAACTTAGGCTTGGCAGAAGGAGCTGCCACCAAATTGGAAGAGGAACCTGATGGGCCTAGAATCCACATACCTAGCTGAGCAAGGTACACAGAAAGCAGTGTTGAAAGCATCGTTTCCCATCTCTACATCTCACACTAAGCAAGCCTTGTGGACAAAGGTCTGAACCACAGGTGGTGGACTATTTCCTAAGAAGGTAATATTTCAGATGCTTGGAAATTTCTACGAATTGTAAAGGCATCTGCCAATCCAAAGAAGTGCCACTCATGGTAAAAAAAACTGTCCCAGGATTCGTTTTGCATTTCTCACTCAACAATGCCCTTGGGCAACTTCCCCTGAAGTAATTAACTACTATCCTTTTTCTTTTTATGTTGGAATTCAGTTCTGATGGTCAGTAATCTTTAAAAAATCCATGGTGGCTGCCTTCCAGCTCAGATAAGAAGACTTATCACCAAGCGTCTCAAGTTGAGAAAGCTAGTACATAAATCTTTCTTCACTTCCAAGCAGAAAACAAACAAAAATGCAGAGGAATATCAACAGTAATGGCCAGGCGCATAATGACATCCATCCAATGAATCACAGAATCACAGAGAAGTTGAGGTTGGAAGAGACCTCTGGAGATCATCTAGTCCAACCCCTCTCTGCTCAAGCAGGGTCACCAAGAGCACATTGCCCAGGACCCTATCCAGTTGGCTTTTGAATATCTCCAGGGAAGGAGACTCCACAACCTCTCTGGTCAACCTCTTCCAGTGCTCTGTCACCCTCACAGTCAACAAGTCTTTCCTCATGCTCAGACAGAATGTCCTGTGGTTCAGTTTGTGCCCGTTGCCTCTTGTCCTGTCACTGGGCACCACGGAGAAGAGACTGGCCCCATCCTCTCGACACCGCCCCTTCAGATACTTGTACACATTGATCAGATCCTCCCTCAGTCTTCTCTTCTCCAGGCTCAACAGGCCCAGCTCTCGCAGCCTCTCCTCATATGAGAGATGCTTCAGTCCCTTCATCACCTTAGTGACCCTTTGCTGGACTCGCTTCAGGAGCTCCATGTCTCTTGAACTGGGGAGCCAAGAACTGGACACAGCACTCCAGGTGAGGCCTCACCAGGGTGGAGTAGAGGGGCAGGATCACCTCCCTCGACCTGCTGGCAACACTCTGCCTAATGCAGCCCAGCATACCACTGGCCTTCTTGGCCACAAGGCCACATTGCTGCCTCACGCTTAACTCGTCGTCCACCAGCACTCCCAGGTCCTTCTCGGCAGAGCTGCTTTCCAGCAGGTCAACCCCCAGCCTGTACTGGTGCATGGCGTTATTCCTCCCCAGGGGCAGGACCCTGCACTTGCCTTTGTGGAACTTCAGGAGGTTCCTCTCCGCCCAACTCTCCAGCCTGCCCAGGTCCCGCTGAATGGCAGCACAGCCTTCTGATGTGTCAGCCACTCCCCCCAGGTTTGTATCATCCGCAAACTTGCTGAGGGTGCTCTCTGTCCCTTCATCCAGGTCATTGATGAATAAGTTGAACAAGACTGCACCCAGTATTAACCCCGGGGGATACGATTAGCTATAGGCCTCCAACTAGACTCTGTGCCACTGATCACAACCCTCTGAGCTCGGCCATCCAGCCGGTTCTCAATCCACCTCACCATTCACTCATCTAGCCCACACTTCCTGAGTTTACCTACCTACAAGGATGTGATGGGAGACAGTGTCCAAAGCCTTGCTGAAGTCCAGGCAGACAACATCCACTGCTCTGCCCTCATCTACCCAGCCAGTCCTTCCATCAGAGAAGGCTATCAGGTTGGTTAAGCATGATTTCTCCTTTGTGAATCCGTGCTGACTACTCCTGATCACTTTCCTAATCTTTCACATGCTTAGAGATGGCCTCCAGGATGAGTTTTCCATCACCTTTCCAGGGATGGAGGGGAGGCTGACAGGCCTGTAGTTCCCTGGCTCCTCCTTCTAGCTCTTTTTGAAGACTGGGGTGACACTGGCTTCCTTCCAGTCCTCAGGCACCTCCCCTGTTCTCCATGGCCTTCCCAAGATGATGGAGAGTGGCCTAGCAATAACATCTGCCAGCTCCCTCAGCACTCATGGGTGCATCGCATCAGGGCCCATGTACTTGTGGATGTCAAGTTTGCCTAAATGATCTCTAAACCGATCCTCCTTGATGAAGGGGAAATCATACTTTCTCCAGACTTTTTCCCTGGTCCCCAGGGTCTGGGATTCCTAAGGGCTAGCCTTAGCGATGAAGACTGAAGCAAAGGCAGCATTCCGTATCTCTGCCTCCTTCCTCACCTGGCTCCCTGAAGCTTCATCTGATATTGTCTGAAATTAACAACCTTCATCCTACATATAAAATGATAACATTTCTTTAGTCCCTGGACTAAAATACTTAATACTCTTAAACTGTGCAGAAATTATGTGTCTATGCAGCACTGCCTGCACTGTTATAATTCCATTCAGAACAAACTGACAGCTGAGAGCAAGTTGTTATCTCGGTTCATTTCACAACCACTTGCAAACAGCACTTCAAACCAAATCTTAATGCAAACAGACTTTCTTACTTCCAGCTAGTTCACAAATATCTTAGAGTCTGGTAATTGCGTTCACTGAAGAGCTATTATGCACTATACAGAACTGATGCTATCCATTTACTTCTAAACAAGATTGATAGGCTGTTGTGTTAGATATGGACTTTGGTCATGTGCACAGCATTACCAGTGAGAATAAGGAGTTTGATTTTGTCACAGTTATTGTAAGTCAAAAGTAGCAGCAGTCATTTCCAAAGGGGCAGAAAAGCTTAAAAAGGACATACGAGCACCTTGTAACAGGCTTGCTACTAAAATATAAAACTGTAGTCATACTTTGTATTGAAGTAAACTATGGAAACTTGATAAAACAATTGTTATCAGTTCTGTCAGACAACCATCAATAATACCTTCCATGGATATGGTTGTAAATACTTACATACTGCTATTCATTCAGTATGTTTATAACTTGTATTAACCATTAATTATTCCTTTTAAAACTCATTTGTAAGTGGAACTTTAACATAAGGTGTGACTGAAATATGACTGGACATGCAAACTAGCCCCAAGCTAGCCTATGGCTGACGGAATATAGTAACATCAAATGTCAGCCCTTCAGCAACTGCTTTGATATTTCATTTTGGGGAAGTGTCCAAAAAACATGTGGAGACTTCTGTGGGAGTTACAAATCTCTTCCCACAGGTCTTGTCAGCTGGATTTCGACTTCTGAGGAGAGTCAGAATAGATGCTTGTTCTTGCATCTTACTTGGTGCTTGTTTTCTTTGCCAGTTGTTGACTCCTGCATATTGCAGCCTGACTGCTCAAATCTGAATGCTGGCATGTAAGAATGCCAACTATCAGATGTATTTGAATCATTTGAAAACTGTGACATGCTTATCCCATCTAAGATTTCACTCATGTCTTACCACTACCTGCCTCATAGATTTTATCTCTTCAGTCTTTGCATTGATCTTCCTCTGTGCCGCCAGCTATTCCCATAAGTTTGTGCAAAAGTCTATCCTGTCTGGCTTTTTGTATCCTCGCAAATCTCATGAGAAACATTTTCTCTCAGTCTTCTTTTTCTTTCGGACATAATGCTTGTATATTCACTTGGTATCATCATTACAACTGCTGTATTCTGTAACTGTCTTGTGTCAGCACTATAAAACATTTTACGCCTGTTTGTGTGAAAGACAAAGTTCTACTGACTTTCATATCTAATCAGTTCTATTTACCTTTCCTTTTTTCCATGCCTTCCTTGCTTTATCTAGTCACAGCAAGCCATAAAACATGCAACAGTCTAAAGGTGATCGTATAACATATTTTACACTATGTTGCATGCCATAAAAAGTGATAATAAGATTCATCAGATATACCAAACATGTACCACTTACTAGCAAAGTATATACTATGATCTTTCTTCTTTGACATCTGACAGCTGTGAGTTGGCACTGCTGTTACCTCAGTCTGGTAAATCGCTCCTGTACCTGATACTGATTCTGCCAAGGAGCAGCACAGTGAGATTAGATTCTGGATTTTTTTCTGCTGCTGCTGCTTTTGGTAAGGCTAAGTGTAGCTGCAGCAACTCTCAAGCTGCATTCCAGAAGATTCAGAAAGACACCTTAAGTCAAGCATACAGTCATGTCAGAAAAGAAAAGACGCTGACTACCCCTCCTGTGTCATACAAGTGATAGAAATCTTCTGTTCACTGTTGTAATTTTTTCAAGACGCAGAGAAGATCCTAAATGTCATGCACGTCCATAGTCAAGGTTGATTTGAGATTCACACTGAGAGCACAGGCCCAGTTCTTGTGCACGGATGGATAAAGTACTTTTCAGCACTCTTCCTCCAACAAAAACATAGTCAACAGGAAACAATTGACCAGCTAAGAAAAATAAGTTGCAAGAACTGTGCTATCACTAGGGCCTGCTAGGAGTCAGAGGAGTGCACAAAGGGGACTCTTTTACTCTCTTTCTAATCCATTTTATCAACGGTGCACAGAATGGAGATCACACAACCTGCTGCAAGATGCTCAGCCAGGACGCATGGAAAACAGCGCTTCTGAAGACTGTGAATTTAGCTTTGCAGCCTCTGGGAGAAGCTCTATTCCAGGCAGGGTTCATCTGTGGTGTGGAAAAGAAGCACCTTGTCTTCAACAGCTACCACTGCATCCCAGCGCAGGACAAGGAAAAACACCCATCTTCAACCAACAGTCCTTCCAGTCTTACGCTTATCCTTTAGCCCAGCTCTGCCCTTTCTCAGCCCTGGAGCTATCAGTACCTTCCAGAAAACACCAATACATCATCTGCAAATATCTGAGCCAGTCTCTCAATCTTTAGACCTGGGAATGCAAATAGGAGGGTGACACACATGTATTCCCCTCAAACTTAAAACTTTTTTGTGACTGCAAAGTGACATTTTGGAGAATTTTCAAGTAAATCAGTCAATCAATTCATTAAAATACTAAACGGTTCTTCAAAGATTTGTTGTGAATCTTAATCTCTTCTCTTCCCTCCCAAATTCCTTCTAGCAAGTGTGTGCTTGATGCCCTAGAACTGA